ATTATCGAGTTTAATATATAATACTTGTGTAATATATTAATTTATAAAAGACAATATAGAATAACAAGAGAATAGTTTTGATTGGAATAATATGAATAACATTAACAAAAATTGTTTTTAAAGTGATATTTGTTACATTTTCTTCCTATTTAGAATTTTATAAAAAATATTTGTATTCTTGAATTTAGTTTACAATATTTGCGTGATATTTTAAAATATGAAAGAAAATAGAGACAAAATAATTTTTTTTCGGGTTATCTCTTAATTACTAAGATTGTCATGCATTTTTCAATTATATATAAGAAAAAATTTTTGCAGTCAGTAACATAAGTTACAACGATAAAGTTTATTTTTGAAATTTAATTTGAAAAAAGAAAAACCCTACCTCCGCTTATGATGAATAGCCTTCATTCAACTGGTGACTTGAATAAGTTTGTAAAGAAGCGACAAAATATTGCGCAATGCTTAACCACGCACCACCTGCTACTTTCAATATTACAGGAACATTTAGAATACAATTATTGTTTTACATAACAAACTCAATCATTTAACAGGATGAAATAAACGAAGAAAACATCATTAAATTTACAATAACTTTAAAATTTTCTCTACGCCTACTCACTCTGATTTCTTGTGATGTAATTTTAGCCTGCGGAAAGATTTTTCTAATAACATCATGAAATTTATTTTCTAACCATTCTTATTTATTGTGACTCATTTGAGTAATTTGAATAAAAAGAAAAACTAACTCATGTTCAAATGGGAAAAACTTTGGTGATGCTGCCATCTATTGAAAATTATTAAAATAAAATAACACTAAAAGGATTAAGACTATCTACTGGCAAATCTTAAACTTATGATTAACAGATATTTAAAATTAAAAAATAAGAGTAAAGTAACATAGAAAAATAATACATTTTATAGAAAATATATTTTATTTTAAAGCATAAATGTATATTTTCTATATTAAAGTTTGACATATTTCAGTTTGACACATTATTTGACACATAGCACCTAAGTTTTTAAAAAATAAATCATCCATTTATTTTATTTCATTCATTTTTCCTGAAATTAGACACAAGAGAAATTTATATTTTATTTTTGATGTATTTTAAAGTCTGATTTTCAACAAATGTAGATTGACAATCTAAGATTTCCAAATACGGATATTTGACGAAAAGATTAATCGCTGTCTCAAGGACATTCTTATGAAAACACTCTTGTTTCTTAAACATTGGTCGGTCATATGATTCCGCCGCCTACACGTTCTTCAAATTTTTCCGATTTTAAACCCTAGCATGACAGACTATTTAAAAAGTTGCATAAAATTCATCTAAAAGAAGAAAAAAATGTTTTTAAAAAAATTACGTTTTATAGTAAGCAATAAATTCAATCAAGATACACAATCAAAATTTCAGAAATCCTTTCCTGTAATTTAAATCGATTTAAATATATGCCTATTAAGTTTCTTATTCCTCAAATGAAAATATTTGAGAAAGTATAAAAAAATATATAATCTAGAAAGTCTCAAGTATTTTTAAATCTTAAAAATTAGTATTAATTATTATTATTGAAAATTAATATTATTTATTAATTTTCAATTCATAAAGGATGTTTTTCTTTTATTTCAATAATAAATTAATTTTTTCCTAAATAATAAAATGGAATATCATTCTTTTAAAAAGAAAATATGATATTTCGAATAATATATTGAAAAGATTATGAAAATTACCGGCATTTTTAATTATTGCATTAGTATTTCCTATTGTGTTTCTCAAATCAAAATAAAATTCTTTAATAAAGAAATATGTTTCCTTAAAAACCGTTTACAATATTTATAACAGTTCTTTTTAGTTTTCATTTTTAAGTAAACCATAATTCAGATTTTCTTTAATTTATTTATTGATTTTCGGTTTTATTTTATCTTATTCAAATTCATAACTAGACTAAAAATTTAAGAACATGAATAAAAAATTTAACTGTGGGACATAAAAACTAATTTAAGATTATTAATGATAAAACGATGAAAAATCTTCCTTTCTCTAAATAAATATCTGTATCTTAATAAATAGTCTTTTACATGTTAATACATTCACAGTTGCCATAAGAAATTTTATTTATAAAATTGGGTTTCCGCCGTAAGAAGGTTGATTAGTTAGGGTTTCGTGGTCGGAAAAAAAAACTACTGCCCTACTATATGCAATGTTAATAAATAAAAAAATAATAGAGTAAAAATTCAAAATTTAAATAAAAACAAATGTTATGCCGTTGTTTTTAAGTTAATTTATTTCTTTTTTTCCCCATTAATTTAAGTTGTTTTGATTTTATCAATTTATTTCAATTATAGTTGCTTTTTCTGAAATATTATAACGAATTTTTATGGATAAAATTTATCTAGTTTGATTTTAAAAAAACCAATTCCTATGTTCTATATTATATTAATTCTAAAAAATATCAGTGTCCGTAAATAAAAGTAATAGTAATTAAAAATTTATTTTATGAAAATATTATTTTTATAAAAATATTTATTTTATAAAAATTTGTTTATAAAAAGTGCAAATTGAAGACAAAAATAAATTAAAATAAGACAAAATTATTTTACATCTTATAGTTATACGGAATATTAAATCATTTTTTGTCCTTGTTGTCCATGGTAATGCGTCATAAGAAAGTTTTGTAAATTGATAAATATTTTTTTACATTCTCTTTATCAAACTCATTTTAACTCTCTATTTCAAAGGTAATTTGAATAATAATAATTACGTTAGATTAATTTTAAATAATTTCTTCTTTATGGCCCTAAATCGGGCTCAGACCATCATTATGAATTTGGGCTGTTTACGACATTATAAAGTTGGGCTAAATGTATACGTCGGCTGTATCTAACACAGGACCTCATTATAATTTTTTAAATCTAAAGTTAGCTTTCTTAGTTATTTACTTCTGTTTATTTAGAGTGTACTTCTTTTATATCAAAAATAATTGGACCATGCGAGAAAATCATTTCTTTTTTAAATTGTTAGTTATAAATTTTAGAACTCGCAATTGCAATATCGCAATCAAATATTAATCATGAGTTGTACTTTAATATGTTTGTGAGCGTTTTCTAAACAACAATAACAATTTTTTTAATGTTCAGAATAAAATTTAAAAAAAAAATGAAATTAATTAAAAATGTTTGCCGAATCTTGTAATTCACTAACAAAACAAAATTTTCGTGAAGGCGTAAAAACGCCTAAATTGGAAACTCAAAAATCCGTTGGAATTAAGCACCAGTCGTAATTTTTGCTTACTTTGTTAAAAGTGAGGTGATGTTTTTTCCTTGTACTAAATAAAATAATGTAAAATAATCTACATTAAGTGTCCTCTTCCTTCGTCGTCTTGGATGTTTAGTTAAGTTTTTGATTTTTCGTTTTATCAATGTATTTTTGATCTTAACAAATATTATTCCACAGTACTAGATTTTTCAAAAGAGAAGAAAGGAAGAGGAAAGGAAAAAAAAAGTGAGAAATAAAGACGTCGCTTTATCAGATTTAGAGAAATAGCGCTAGATGAAAAGCAACAAAATTATTATCTTTAGTAATTTTGTGAGAGTAATTTTCTATTCACAATTGTGTTATTTTATATTATTCTTTATTATTTACTTCAAATATAGCTTAAACTGATAAAAAGAATTTTAATATTACTGAGAAATTCGTTTAACATTAAAAACAAAGATATTCATCACAACTCAAAAAACGTACAATTGGCTACTTTAGAAGAAATGCTGAAAACAAACTGAATGATTTAGAAGAAATGCTTAAATTTCCCCGTTCTTCGACTTCTTTAAATGAATTTCAAGAGACTTTTGAACCGGTGATCGATGCAGAATCACCCCAGATCTTAACATTTTAGTTGTGATTTCCAGAAAACCATATTTTTCAACTTAAGTCATGTATTCCCATAAAAAGACTTGTACTGTGGAGGCTCAGGAGATAGAGCTTTCGCCTTTCAATGAGACGAACCGGGTTTAAATCCCAACGATGGCTGGTTGATACGAATTGCCCACCTGGATCGCACTGACCACAGTGCTGACGTAAAAATATCCTCTGTGGTAGACGGATCATGGGTTAGAGTCACCTTGCCATCGGGCTAACCACGGGATGTTTTCATGGTTTTCCTCTCCATATAATGCAAATGCAGGTTAGTTCTATCAAAAAGTCTTCCACGAAGGCAAATTTCTCCCAATACATGATCCAGGAATTCCCTTGTCTTCTGGATTGGGTTCAAAATTGCAAGGCAACAGAATTGGCCATTAGTAGTCGCAAATCCAAAATTGGGTCGGCATATCAACGACGGTCATAAAATAAAATATAAAATTAAAATAATAAAAATTCTTCTCGTTGAAGCATAATATCAGTTAAACTTTAATAAGGTATTAAACTGAACCTTGTTATCGTTCAAGTAAAATAATAGTATCATGATATTACTTCTTAAATGGCCTAATTTTTGTGAAAGTAAAGAACAATCTTTTAATGGCTGCACAAAGATTGAACAATATTACAGTTAAAAATTTTTGGCTTTATATTAGCGTATATCCTATTGAAAAATTCTAAAAGTGTAGAAACTATTTATCCGATTTCAATTTTACTTTAATGAGAGTGTAGGATTTTATTATTGGTACTTTTAAATCTTACACCAAATTTGAAGGATATTAGGGTTTAACCCGAATCAAAATATCTAACAGTACAGAAACTATTAATCTGATTTCAATTTTACTTCAATGAGAGTGCAGGATTTAGCTATTGGTATTTTTAAATGTTACACCAAATTTGAACAATATTATGGTTCAACCCGATTCAAATTTTCTTGCAGTGTAAAAACTACCCATCCGATTTCGATTATAATTTTATGAGATTATGGAATTTTGCTATGATTTTTAATGATCCTCAAATTGTGTAAAAATTAATTCTTGTAGTTAATAGGTCTCATATAAATTCTGTCAGGAAAAGAAAACTTACTTCTTGACAGAAGGAACATCTCGGCTTTATTTGTTCAGCATAATGCCTTTCACAATAAAGTTTTCTGTCTTTAACACAATGTGTGAGATCGACTAGTAATTCATCACAGATACAACAAACAAAACAAGCAGGATGCCACGACACAGATTCACCAAATTTTGGAGCAATTACAGCCACATCACCTTTCAGCATAGTACCTCGACATTTAGCACATTCCTTCAACAAACAAAAAAAGAAATTTTAAAATATTATTAAAAAGATAAAAAACTTTTTTGATTCATTTAATCCAAACCCTTTGTAAGTTTCAGCGCTATTTAACGGCTATTGCGGCAAGATGCGGCTATTAATTTTCAATAATGATTTAATAACTCCTAAAAATATTATGCGAATGATACCCCCATTATATGTATTTTGAAGTTACTTCCACCTTTTTTGGAAAACTCATCGATTCAAACATTTTCTTATCGACTTCAGAGCATCCTTGTCCTTTTAGCAGATATCCGTTTTCGGTTTCGGAGCAGAAACTCTTCAACTCAACTCATGGAAACTCTTCGATTCAAATTTGAAAACGATTCTTCTTCGATTCAAACGTCTGGGTTTTTTTCTTAATGACTTCAACATCCTTAAACCTTGACCCCGCAGCAAATTTCTTGGTTTCGGAGAAGAAACAACATTTAAAATCTCTTTTTTGGAAAAATCTTCGATTCAAACGTTTGAATTTTCTTATTATTTTCTTAATGATTTCAATATACTTAAACCTTGTTCCTTTAGTATATTGTTTTGATTTCAGAGCAGAAATAACTTTTAAATTCTTTTTTTTTCTCGGAAAACTCTTTGATTCAAACGTTTGAATTTTCCAATTACTTTAAACATCGTTAAATCTTCCTTCAGGATAGTTTTCGGTTCCGGAGAAGACACAACTTTTAAAGCCCTCATTTAGAAAACTCTTCATTTGGGTTTTCTTAAAAATTTCAAACCTTGTTCCTTAAATCCTTAAACCTTGTTTCTTTAGCAAATTGTTTTAGTTTCGGAACAGAAACAATATTTAAAGCCCTCTTTTGGAAACCTCTTCATTTGGGTTTTCTTAAAAATTCCAAACCTTGTTCCTTAATTCCTTAAACCGTGTTTCTTTAGCAAATTGTTTTAATTTCGGAACAGAAACAATATTTAAAGCCCTCTTTTGGAAACCTCTTCGATTTAAAGTTTGTTGCTTAAGGATTTCAACATCTTTAAACCTTGTTTCTTAGGCACGTCTTTTAGTTCTGGAGATGAATCATTCACCATACTTTTCGAACAAAACTCTTGCAGACGTTTTGTTTCCGAAACTGAAAAAGTTTTCTAAAAGGATGTCGAAGTTATTAAGGAACGTATTTCGAAAAAGGACTTTTAAAGTTGCTTGTAAAATTTTTACAGTATAGTATTAGGGGGACCGGAAAGTAATGTCATTTCGATGCATTAAATATTCGTTAGTCTTAACCAATTCATTTTTTTCAATCCATTTTTATTCATTTTCGATCCGCCATTGAAAGATTGTTGCTAACGAGGGTGAATACATTATTAATTAAAAATAAAATCTCGATAACAAATTTCAAATGCGCCGAAACGAGATTACTTTCCGGTCCCCCTAATATATAAGTACATGGCATAAGTTTAAGGTTACTTTGAAATATATCGAGTGGGTGTGTAATTTACTTCATATTTTCAAGAATTCTATCAATCCTTAAAATTTGTATTTTTATCAGAAAAAACTTTTCTCTTGTTTTTTTTTTTTCATTTTTCTTGTGTGAAATGATGGTATTTGATGTTTTAATCGTATGAAAAATGGTTTCCTGATCATTAATAGTTGTTAAAGACGAATAATTGTGCCATTTCAAGATAGTAACAATATAGCTGCCAACATGGCAGTTTGTTTAGAAGAAGTGCACTCATGAAATGTAAGTTCTTGTCAGATTGAGTTGAAAATTTCAAATCGTCTTTACTGATTAAGAATATTGATAGTGGTTGATTATTTGCCGAGTAATCACAATTTCTTTTTAATTAATTTGATAAACTACTCATATAGGCTGTTATAAAATGCATCTTTATTTTATTAATTGCATAATGAAGATATTTATGTTTTTATAAGATAGACATAAATCTGTTAATTGTATAAATTAATTTTTAATATTTAACTTTTATTCACAGCAGTTTTGCTCGAATTCGTAATAATATTCTGCCTGTGCTGAACGTATGCTTAATTAACAAATTAATTCTATTTTAAGAACATTTAAGTTTTTGCTTAGAATTGTTTCTACCAATGACAAAAATTAGCAACTTTTCCTTTTTTTTAGAAAAAAAAACATTTAAATGCTCCTTCCCGCTCCTAATATATAGGGGCTTTATATTAGGGCCTAATATATAGACTTTTTAGGGGATATTTTTACACATTAAATCAAATCAAGTAAAAAAAAAATTTTAAAATAACAATTTTTTTTTACTCCAGAAAAAGTATGGTTTGCGTCAAATAAGCATGTTCTACACTAGTTACAGTTAATTGTGGTACAGTGCGCAGAAAAAGAAAACGGAACACCCTGAATAATTTTTGATCTAATGATTAGATTTTCATGTACTAAGACTCAAACTTAATGGTTCACAGGTGTGACCTCAAATATGCAAATTAATCAAAGCAGACGATATTTTAAGTAACAAAAACAGCAAAAAAAACGTACTTTTCCTGAATAAACATAAATTTTTCTAGACGGACTTGGGTTTCTGACCCTTAAAATAGAAGAGTGGGTGGTCGCTATGATTCCAATTGTTTGGTCATAAGAGCAGTCGAAAGTTCGACAATTACTTTTGTAAAATAAAAAAATAACGTCAGACAGATCCTTTTTTTGAAAGAAAGTTTTATTCGGCCCCCCTTTTGAGCTCAATTTTTTTCGACTATTAATACTAAGAACTAAAAAATATATTGTGAATTTTTGAAATTCATTCATAATTTCCACAAAAAAAGGGCTAAAATTTATTTGTGTACTATCTTTCCGTCATTAGACTAGTCTGAATGTTTTTAAAAATTCAAAACTAACATTATATAAATAACTTTAGGTTAATGTGTTTACTAATTATACTGATTCAGTATTATACTTAATGTAAATTATTAAAAAATGCACAAGGGTTTTGGCGAAACACTTTAAAATAAAATTGTTCTTTAGATTAAAGCGTATTTGGATCAGGAACACTTCAATAAGTTTGATACTTAACACTTTTTTGCGATATAAACTTTAACTTGAAGATTTTGCAATGATAATTTCTCTTTTATCTGTACTATTGAGGGATCATCTTCCTTAGTTGAACACAGGGTCCACGACCCTGAGATGCCTGAAATAATCTCTCCCCCCCCCCCTTTTTTCTTTTCTTGCACAATTGTTGCCACGTATTGCTATGCTTTCAATTCAATGGATGCATGCAACTTATTTGAATACTGCAAATTAAACTTACATTTTGCTTATCGAGATGTTCTCTGACATAAGCGATGTCAAGAGCAATTTCATTTCTAGTATTTACAAATTCTTCAAATGATTTATGATGAGTTTTTTCAAGATATTTACAATATTCTAAAGAAAGATCTTGTTTAGGAACTTGAATCTGTAGTTGTTTCTCTCTGTAGTCTTCTCCTGATGATTGCCATCTAGGCACTTTGTTATTTGGTAGTTGTGCAAAATATTCATCAACCTAAAGGAGTAAACATCCTTAATTAATATTTTTAGAATACTTGCCGATAATATTCAAGCAAGAAATAAAAATCTATCGAACTAATCATTAGATGAACAGTTTGCCCGGTGAAACTTAAAAGGGTTTCTTGTAATTTCCATTTAATTCCTTCTGGACAAAATTAAGGTGGAATTAAAGATTCCCCTAAAAACAGCTTATTACATTAATATCTGAAAAGAATATTTTTTGTACAAATATAGTTTTCCACTAAGGCATTAGCTTCATGCAATTTTAATATACATTTAAAATGAATTATAAATATGTATTATAAAGTCAAAAATCTGTATAGGTTTTATAAAATTAATTTTTATTTTTAACCCTAGGCGATGTTATCAGACTTCCCTGATGTATCCTTATTTCAAATTACCTAGATACATCCATAACCTTTCTAAATGACGTACAAAAATGATATTTGTTTAAATCCTAGAAATAAGCAACAATTTCTTCTATGACAAAAAATGAAAAAGATTAGTAATCATTGGAAAATCAGCATGTTCACAGTGGAGCCGATCAAATTTTTTATGCAATCTCATAATTTATTCATTTTTTTCCTTCAAAAACTACAAATATATGGTATTTCAGAAAGATTTTCTTGCTTAATTCAAATCTTGTTTCTAAACATATCTATTTTTCTGTTTAGATGCCTCGCTGTTGCTCTATGCCTGGCTGTAGATCAAACTATGAAGGTGAGTCACATACAACTGTATATCATTTTCCACATGACTCTCAGCTCCGTATAGAATGGAAACGTAAGATTCAACGAGATGATTATAATGTTACCGACAACAGCAAAAATTGCATCAATCATTTTAAAGAGCATATTATTGAGTGAAATAATCAGGCAACAAGAATTATTAGTTGTGTCTAGGAAAATAAGTTGATGAAATAGGACACAATATCAATAAAAATAGGTCTATTATTGTACCATGTCTCCAAACAAAAGTCTCAGGCTCGCCACCACGGTCTATTGAGGAGCTCTTTAATGTAGAAGTAACAGAATGGAGAGATTATTATATAAGATTGTAAGTGTAAGATTTTTATAAGAAATATAAACTGACTAAGAACACTTTCATTTTCATGAAAACTTTCCTTGTTAACCTCATAATTTATATTATGTTTAAGAGTCTGATATCCTTGATAGAGAAAAAGGAGATTTTTATAATGACACACTTTTATGCTTCTATCATTTTACTATTAAAACTATTAAAATAACTTCAGTATCACTGCATCTATTAGCTAAAATCAAATACAAAAAATCTTCCTTTTACGATATTATTTATTTTATCATTTTATGATTTATTATTTATTACATAAAAATTCTAAAATAGTAGCAAAATTTTAAATTTTTATGTCTTTAAAACTTTATTGGTATACATTATTTAAAAATTCCTTAAAATGAAGTTCTGAAAATTTTTTTTTTATTGTATTTTTTAGTTTCAAAAATGAAATTTTAAAAGTCATATCTTCATTTAATTAAAAATTTCAGTAAATTTACTTTTTAAAATTGCATGTTCAGTAGTTCACATTGTAAATAAAACTTTATCTTACAACAAAACAAATTTAGAGCTGCTAACGTAATAGATATTTCAAAAAGCGTACCAAAAATACGCTTCGAGGAAGATGTCAAAGTTTGCTCCTTTACTCTGTGACACTTATTACATTTTGTCAGTTAATATTTATTTAAATCTTTTAAACTGCATATTATTGGAATTAGACTAGTGTTAAGAATAAGTTTTTCTCGTCCGTCTTCTTTAACAAATTTTGAAGTATTCAAGATAATATTTTATTTCCTCAATAAATTAATTTATATTTTATATATTAATTTTATAATATTTTAGATGGAATCGTTATAAAACCTCAAAAATAGGTTTGTCAGAGTAATGTATGAAATTTAAATTATGATAATTGCTTCTTTAATATTTAATTTGCATTCTATAATTAAAAGCAAAATTCAATCATAAATGTTTATTTATACTTTTATTGAAGTCATAATTTTTAAAAAAAACTGCTCGCCTGATATTAAAAGGAAATGGTATTTGAATTCCTCTAAGTAATCTTCCAGTGAAATATGTATTACATTTGTTTTGTCATCATTTATTGTATTAACTTTTATAGAGTTTTTAGTCAACCTTTGTTATCAGTATTATTTAAAAATTTTTTTGTTTTGGGTAGAAAGTTACTGATACAATATACAATTTTGTTATTGACATAAAAGTGTAAAAATATTTAACATATATGGATTCAAAATAATCAATGAATAAAAATGTTGTTTCCTGTGCTATTTCTTCAAAAAATTCCTATCTTCTTTTTCTTATTTTTGATAGATTATTTGCTTTATTCGGGATATTATTTTTTTACAAATGATTTTTGGAAATATATATATATATATATTACACATCATATTATTTTAATAATACCGCCTTTTGCGTTTTTTAAAAACTTGGAAATTCATGCTTAATTTTTAATTGACTATTATTTTAAACATTTTTATTCCTTAAAATAATAAAAAAGTTTACAGGGAAAAATTTTTATATTTTTATCATGAAAGAAACTGTGAAAAATGTGTAAAGTTTTTCTTTCGGTATTTTTATTCTGCTTTGATGCACATAACTAGAAATATAAATATTTATAAAATAAATATTTGTGGAGTATAATAAAAAAAATGCTTATAAATATTATGATTTGAATAATTTAAAAAGGTTCCTATTATCAACTTCTATTCCTTGCTTCAGGCATGTAAACAGGGGGGCAAGTTCCTTAGTAATTTTTTAATGGGGGGGGGGATATTTTTTTTTAATATTTGATGTAATTTGCAGTTTTAAAACTGTAAATTAAGAAAGCTTTTTGATTGTTTAAATGCCATTTTATAATACGAGTATTTAGAGTAGATTTTTTTATTTTGGGCGGGGGGGGGTATTTTTTCAGTCAAATTTCTTGCATCATCAATGTTTTACTTTGCAATTATAATAAGTAGCATATAAGATAAGCGCATTTACAACTTGTGATTGAGTGTGAGAGAAACTGGAGTTTTTTGGGTGGTCAGTTAGATTTCAAAATAATTTTTTTTTTTTTGGGGGGGGGAGACATTTTTCGGATCTTTGCTCTTAGTGAGGAGTTTCTTCCCGGCTATGTTCAAATGTTCAATATGTTTTCAACACGAAATTTGCATAATAAGAAAAGCACATTCATAACCAGTGTATTTGTTGAACTAAAACATTAGTTTTAATTTTTCTTTGGGGGAAGTATTTTTTAAAGCCTTTTTCGGTGGGGGTTATTATTTTGATCATTTTTATTTTATTTTATTACATTCGAAAAATATGTCGGAGTTTTAAATGAAATTGTTACTTCTTTAAAAGGGAGTTTTTAGGCAACATATCTTTATTTTTTTGTGACTGCAGTGTTTCCTTTCAAAGATTATATTAAGGCCATTCAATTTTGGTAGAAGAATAAATTCCTTGATACGAATTTACGAAGAATTGAAAAATGACATTGATGACGTAAAGGATCTTAATAGGAGCGGAAGAAATAAATTTTCCTGAATATAACGAAATAGAAGAGTTAGAAGCAAAACAGAGAGACCTGTGGATTTTGAAATTTTTTATACGTATAACCACTTCACTTAATCGATTTATCCTCTTGTTTCCCATTTTTTTATTTATTTATTCATTTACTTTGTATTTAATAAATTGCTAACATACAAATTGTTTATCGGAAAGTGCTATAAAGAAAGTTAGACTTATAATAAAACTTAAATAATCCGTCATGTTCGAGAATTGGTATTTTCATGGGTAAATGAAAAACAAAAAGCACAGAAAAGGAAGAAAAAAAAGCAACAGAAAATAAAGCGTTTGAAAAAAATCACAGAATAAGAACATCACAACGGAAAATTGAACCTGAATTAATGATTTTTCTTAATTAATTAAATGAATTAACCATAGATTATTTTAAAATTAATTAATATACAAGGATTAGTATGAGGTTTCAGGGAATATCTTTTTATATTTCATCTTTTTTAAGCACTTTCATTTCATACTCTAATAAGTGCTTCAAAATTTTTTAATATCAATATTAACACTTATAATATTATGATATGATAATCATATAAAAATGATACTAAACAGATGATTTCTTTTTTTTAAAAAAAAAACTATGTAATGTGAGGAAATATTTAATCATTTTTGTAAATATTTTAAGATTATAATAAGATTAACACGTAGAGAAAGTATTGCTAATTGATACTTACTATATGAAAATCTACTATAATAGGAGAAACATCATTAAAAAAATATAAAATTTTAAAAATTCCTTTACACCCACTTCAAATTAATCTTTGAGCATAAATTATTTTTTAAAAAAAAACTTTTAAGCTACAGTCCTTCTAACTCCACTTGCCAATCCCTAATTACTTCTTATTCATTTTTTTTTACTAGATATTCATAGATTTTTTTTCGAAAATCACAGAATATATTGTTTACAAAATATCTAATCATTGTAGCTTTATGTAAGAACATTTTGTTAGCATGTAAATAAGAACGAAATGGACGATTACTTGGGTTCGAAAAGTAGTCGTCTGAGCTTAAATGAGTTTAACCTAGAGATCACAGAATGTGTGAAAAAGAAATCAAGAAGAAATAAATGAGAAGTAAAGTAAGATACTTGTTATTAATAATTTTACTTATAGCAATTCAAATTGGAAATGAATTTTATCGCTCTTTATTAAGTTTTCTATTTATTTATGAAATTACAACAAGTCAACTATTCAATGTGGACCATCCATTGAAGTAGACGTGTTCAAATCACAGTGGACGTTACTGTTAAGATGGAGGAGTTCATTTCGAAGTGGGAATGTCTGTCAAGGTAGGCTGTTCACATCACGTCCAGGTCACCAATGTGGGGAGTAAGTATCGACCATGTCAACCTTCATCTATAAAAAGGTACCTCAACATAGAATCGAGTTAACTTGTCTTAGATACTAGTGAATTGTAATTATATATTTGTAATTGTAGATATTCTACATAATGAATATTTAGAGCAAAAAGCCGAAAAAATTAAAATTTGTAATAACTTTAAAAGAAATTGGAGTTTTGAAGCAAATATAAATGACACTTTCAGCTATTCAAAATTTAACACTGTAGTTGCCTTTTAGTGGGCTACAGATTAACCAAACATGGTATTTTTTCATGCATGTTTAATATTTAATAATTTTCTAACTAATTATGGAATCTTAATTTTTTAATTCTGCAGTACTCCCGGTACTTTTTTCTCCTTACCTTCGTAATTTCAAGTTTTTAGGTCATAGATATTATGCAACAAGGCAAAATGTAAGGTAAAGAAAAAAAGTTATAAAAAATTCGCAAAAGAAAAGCACTTAAAATTTCAATAACTATAGAGTAAATTTGAATTTCGAAAATCAACTCTGTGTTAGGTCATAAACAAAAATGGCTCCTTCAACACGTCAAATTTCAACTCTATAGTTGAAACTCATCTGAGAGAACACAATCAGGAGCTCAAAGATGCCAACATGGCGGTCTCTTTCTCTTGTAAATCAAAAAAAGGTAACCATTAGGTAGTTAAAATTGAACCAAAAGAGAAGATTGTGAATCGAGCAAATATAAAGCTCGGTTGGAAGATCGCAGAAGAATACCTTAGGGCTTTAAGGTGCTACAACCGTTTCAGTCATAAAACTGTCATAACGATGAAGTCTGTGCAAACTGCGGTGGGAAAGGACACAGAATGAATTTGGATTAAAACTGAATACAAACCATTCAGCTTTAAAACGAGACTGTCCTTCAAACCAAAGAGAGCTGGAGAGAAAAAGAACAAGAGGCTCTTGCTGCGTGACTTTTTTTGAGCCTTTAACATCCTCTGTAATCTGTTCTGGATTTTGTTGTTGTTCGTTCTGTTGGTTTGTTTTATTAAAACAGTTTTAGGTTCGTAAAGCCTTCAAGGCGGAGGATTCTCAGTGGGTCGCGGGGTGGGGGCTGTCTCTCCTGCTGACGGCCTTCACTCGAAGAGTCTGCAGCGGTTATGGCACCTCCGCCATGTGGCTTTGGTGCCGGAGCTTCTGCTCCGGATTGGTGCCCTCTGCCCGTCGATCAACCAATTGTAATGCTTTTTCTTCGTGCATGACTCGGGGCCTTGTGCCATGTCCCGCTAGGTCACCGTACTCATGCCGGGCTACGTCCGTGCGATTGGGTCATCTGTAATCCCTGGATGTCCATATTCGGGGCGAATCAGGATTAAGCTACTCTTATTCTTTAATCATGTATATAATTCCGAAAATCTAATAAAGCAGATGCTTTTTACGTTTTATATTTGTTTGTTGTTATCATTTTGTTTTATTTTATTTTTTATTTTATTTTATTTGTTTATTTGAAGATATGAAATGGCAAAACAGTATGCTTTTACTTAGTGGGTTATATTACTTAGTGGGCTCAATCTTAATATTCATGTCTTAAAATATAGAATGATTTTTAAAATTCTCCTTCGTATTCTTCCAATGTTTGATAAAATACAGATTCGTCTCAACGACTGCATTCAGTGGTTTAAAATATAAAATTCAATCCACAATTAGTAGTTTAAGATCTCCAATTTACATAGAGCGAATATTATCATCTTTTTATTAGTTGTCCATTCCATTGTGGTTCTTGTAAAATGAGCGAGCGGTCTGAAAAGAACCTTGGACTGACAAGTGATCGAAGCCTTTAATATAATTTAAATGAAACATTGAGATTTCAAACAATACTCGGGTGAAAAGGGGCCGGGATAGCCTGGTTGGTAGAGTATTGGACTCGCATTTGTGAGAACGGTAGATCGAATCCAGCCGGCAGCAGGAATTCCCGTGTATTAAATGGTGTACTTTAAATCGGTCGGTGTCACAATAGTTCGTTTTGGTCTATTAGATTAGGTGTTGAAAGTTTAAAGCAAAATGGATTAGATGAGCGAACTCAAATCGCGAAACAATCGGAAAGGGATTGCGTAAGCAGTTCCGAAGGTCGCAGGTCGACAGTGAGCAAGAAAAAGCCCCTTAATTAAAAATATGCAATTTAAATTTTTTTCCGCAAACTTCAAAATAATCGTCGCATACTAGTTTTTTTTTTAAATATCTAATTACATTTGAATCAATGTTTATTTATTTATTAAGGGGAATTGAAACGCAAAAAATAATTTGCCAAATTTGTATACTTCTTAAATTGAGCGCATCTGCATTTTTCCATTACGAATATAGCCCATTGAGGCAGATGGGACACATGTGTCCCTTTTGCATATGATTTTTCTGCCGCTCTAATTAAAAACAAAAATATGTTTGGGTATTTTTAGCTTAAAAAAATAAAGAATAATGGTTATTAAGAAAACTGTTAGATTAACGGAATCAGATTTATAATATAGTATAAAATCCACAAATAGTAGTTTGAAAAAACATTTTTTTTTCATATTCAAAAATTTATTAGTTATCGATTTTGTAAATTAAGGAAATTTCAATTATCAAAGTATCAAAGCTGAGGTATTGAATCAGATTAAAGTGAAATGGATTAGATGAGCGAACTCAAATCGCGATTCTAATAGAAAGGGTTTGCGTAAGCAGCTCCGGAGGTCGCAGAGCGACAGTGAGCTGGAGAAAAAGCACTCTGATTACAAAAACATGCAATTTAAATTTTTTTCGCAAATTTCAAATTAATCATCGTATACCAGTTATTTTTTTTTAAAAAACATCTAATTACATTCGCATCAATGTTTAATAATTTATTAAGGGGAATTGAACAGTAAAAAATAACTTGTTAAATCTATGTAATTTTTAAATTGAACGCATCCACATTTTTTGTCAGTTTTCATTGCGATCTAACACCCTTTGAGGCAGATGAGACACAAGTGTCCCTTTTATATATATATTTGTCTGACGCTCTAATTAGAAACAAAAATATGCTTTGATGTTTTTTTAATTATAAAATATAGTATAATAGTTACTAAAAGAACTGTAACATTAACGGAATTACACTTATACTATAATATAAAATGCAAAAATAGTAGTTTGAAAAAAAATTTATTCATATTCAAAAATTTATTAATACTATATTTTGTAAATTAAAGAAGTTTCAATGTTAAATAACTGTTTCTCATAATAACGGAAGTGAAGTCTGATAATAACTAAATAAGTGCATATTTGAGAAATGATTGTTTGGAAGTGCGCAGTGTTTAGAAAACATAACCTTTAATGCATAGAAAGACACCCGTGTTTCATGCTGTATTTCATAACCATAAATAATTAAAATGCTAATTAAAATAATTGTCACTTATTTTGACCTAAATCAATGCAAAATAGGGAACAAAGTATGAAAAATATGCTTAATAAAAATTCTTCGTCAAAGGGTTAAAGAGACTTTGTTTCCGTTATTATTTTTTGAGATGTTTATTCAGGTGTTTTTTTTTTCACAATGTTAATTTTGTTTTCTGAAATTTTGAAAATTGTGTCTTACAAAATATTACTAACAATAAAATAATTGAGAGATGTGTTTTGTGTTTAGATATAACTAAAAAAAAATCTTTTCGAGTGAATAAGAATTTTATTTGTTATTTGCTGAAATAGGGGAATTTGCTCAAATTTTAAAGGGATGTCTGCATTAAACTTGAGGAGATTTTGAGCAATTCTGGAAAGACCTAGATTAAAACAAAGACGATTCATAAATTTTTCTGTTGAGTTTCAAGATTTTAAAACACCAAATATATATTACAAGCCACTTTTTAAAATAAAATAATATATTTAAATAATTTTTTTAGGGAATTCTATTTAATGTAATCCAGAAGCATAATCAGAGTTATTTAATGTAGCGAGTTCTTGTGGGATTGTTGTCTTATAATAATCGTCAAATCATTTTAATGTACCGAGTTCTTGTGGCATTGTTGTCTTATAATAACCGTCAAATCATTTTAATGTACCGAGTTCCTGTGGCATTGTTGTCTTATAATAATCGTCAAATCATTTTAATGTACCGAGTTCTTGTGGCATTGTTGTCTTATAATAATCGTCAAATCATTTTAACTTACTGCTAGTACTCCTGGCGGGATCCAAGAATAAGTTTTATGGGAAGAGGCCCGTTGGATTTTCTTATTTCGAGATGTTTTTCTAAAATAAATAAATATTAATGAATAATATTAGAGACATTTATTTGAAATCATTTCTATTCTCCCTAATATAAAAATAATAGTACAATTTCGACTAAACTTTAAACTAAAGTAACTTCTGACAGTGATTCTATGCAGTTTTTATTTATTTGCTTATTTATTTGAAGAATTTGGATGTTTTGCAAGCACATCTAAAGAGCTAGAACACATTAAAAGCACTGATCTTTAATGTATATTTTTAGAATCCCTGTCAAAAATAAAATGAAAAAAGAATTTGGGGGGCACAAATAAGAATTTCGGAAAAGAACAAGAGAAATTGTTATCTACATCTTACAAGTGACTATTAAAGTGGGTGTAAAAGCATAAAAACCCCTCTGATTACTTGCTTTCCCCGATAGTGATTCGTCAGATTGTGATATAATTTTTTCTCGTGATTAAATATTAATTCGTGTCCCTTAATATGATTTTGTTGCAAGGATTCTAAAAATAAATATTTACAGTGGTGATTCTAGAGTAGCGATAGCTCAGTGGCCAAAGAGATGTGAGCTGACATTGAGCTGGTGTTCGATCTTCGGTGGCAACTTGGTGCCCGCCCAGCTTCAGATCAATGGGTATCAATTCATTTGGGAAGCAAAAGCGGCATAAAGCACAATGCTGACCTGTTTGACGTAATCGCGCTGTTTCTCACGAGATTGTGGAGCCTAATGCTCCTCTTGGCCAACACTAGAGAGCCTAGAGTAAAAGAGAGTGGACAAGGGAGAAACGATTCCTGATTGGTGGACAGAAAAACTTTACCGCCGGAGGCGAGAGTGGAAAATTCGCCATTGGAATTACATGGAGTGAAAATTATCTGACTCAAAAAAATTATGTTCTGTATTAATAAATGCATGTAATAAGTTCATTACTTACTTTTTTTCAATAAGAAACTTCACAGTTACAGTAAATGTTAAAATTATGGCTGAAAATTTGGATAGTTGTTAGTTATTAGAATTTATCCTTATTATCACTTACTTGCGTGCATATAAAGTTATGTTTATCTCATTGTAAAGAGAACAAGGTGATGAAATAACTAATGGTTAGATAAGAATAAATGTATTTACTTTTAATGCACATAATTTCTATCTAAATTACTTATAAATTTTAAGATTTGAGCATCTTTTTATCAAAACTTCAGAAGTGCAGAGTTTGGCGATATTACTTTGACATGTTGGCGCGTTACAATGTTCCCGTTACAATGTTACAATGCGCGTTACAAAGTAGCATTTGTTTACTTTTCGTTACCAACTGTATAAAATGCTAGTTTGTTTTAAATTTCAACTAATTATGGAAATTTTTGTTTACAATTTGTTGAAATAAACAATACCTTTTCAGGTGAATATGCGATAATTTTTTCCTGAAAAAGTAATAAATAATAATAAATTATATAATTTGTTTTATTAATTATTATTTCTGAAATAAATGGCATAATCATTATTAATTTTTATATTTTATTTAAGGCATTTATTAAAAGCTGAAGTCTTTTCATTAGTCTTTTTTTTTTTTTTTTGACGTTAATTTTTTAACAATTTCAGATGCTAGACAATGTTTCTTAAAAAATCTGTAATATCATGTGCTTTCCAATCTTAAAGTTTATATTATTGATACTTTAGTATATACTCTTAGAATAACAGAACCTTCAGAATAACACCAAATGAGCGAGTGGCGCCAATTTCGGTGTATCATCTGGCTACCCCCTTGGACAAAAATCTGACGGCAGCGCATGCGCTCTTGGATATTGTCAGCACTCTTTTTCAATACAGGCACTCTAGCCAACACCATAGGCATTTAATATGATTACACTCAGTATCGTGTGTAATTTGAATTTATCTGTAAAGAAAAGATAAATCTCATGAAAATTATTAAAACATTCTTTAATGCTTACCTAAAACTTCCTTTTAATTATCCTTAGCCGTGATTTTTTCTTTTATCTCATCGAAATCTTTTTATTTTAAGGCGACGACTGTGTACACACAATTATTCAGAGCACAAGAAATATGGATGCTTATTTTTAGCTTTTGAAAATGAAAAAAAAAAAAAAAAAAATATGTGCATGAAATTAATGAAGATTGAAAGGAATCGTCTGCCGACAATGTTTCCGACTCTCCCCATAACCACCTCCGTGACGTCACAAACAAGCTCCTTGACCTTCTAGTCTTGATGATTATGCCTTGATCTACAACGAGCTGTTGTGTGAATGTTTTACTTTTTAGCAGTAATTATGGGACATCCTGTGTATCTAAGAATACTTATCTCGAAAATCACAAAATATGTAAAATATTTTTCAAACCTTGCAAGTGTTCAGTTATTAAGTTTTAAACTTCATACAAACCAGAATTATTGTGATTGCTTTTAAATACGTTTTAAATTGATTACAAGATTGATACTGTAAGAAATGGGAACCTTTTTCCTCCTCTAGGACATGATTTCTGAGTTATTATTTTATCTTTTCTTTTCTTTTTTCTTTTTTCAATTTTCAATAGTCATAAAATAAATATGTATCTAAATTTCTAAATACCGTTGTATCTGAAAATAGAGGGATTATTTTCCCAAAATAGAATGACTAATTTAAACAAACACCTGCTAAAAGGAAGTGTCATTCATAGCTAAAAGCTTCCGTGACAAGAATCGTTTCTGCGTTGCTTGCGTGATTTATCATAATTCGATATACACGTACCATCTGTCATAAGATTTATTGTATACTGAATACTAATATTTAACTCCCGCTGCTAACTTTTTAATGACACATTTTCCTCAGCTGTACCCTATTATCAGAATAAAACAATAATTTACTTAACTGCCTTAAAATGTGCTACTGAAAACATAAAAGATCTAGCTAAGTGCACATTTTTCAATCTCTGGCAATATGCTCTTTTTTCGGTACTTTAATTTTGTAAAAGAATTCTGTTATTATTAGAACCGGGAAATTGAAATTAAAGATTAAAGGATTTAGACCTCGTAATAAAAATCGAGTTATCTTATCTTTATTGAGAATTGACAATACAAAACAATTTAGAGGAGAGGGCAAATATATATATATATATATATATATGGATGGTGTTTTTTATATGAATGTAAACAACAACAATCTCGAGCTCTTGACCTGCTCTACTTCCAGTTAGAAAATATATAAATATATAGCTGCTTACTACAGCTTATTCTGCGAGGCGATATTTCAAGCAGATAATTTTGTTTTAAATAAAAGATATAAATTCTATAATTTCTGAGCTCAAATCTGCAGTATTTCGTAAGATATTAAATAATTCTGGTGAGTTTGGAAGTGAAAATTTGTTTTAGTTATTTAGAGATGCATTGTTAAAAAAGGTGACACGGTTCCTAGATTTAGAGAATCTTTGGCAGTTCTGATTTGGCCTCTCTTTACTTGTTTATTACTGTTTGTTCTTGGTGCAACTATCATACCTTAATGTAAGCATATTGTTAGAGATTAAGTTCGTTTGGCAAATTATCATTTAGGTTTAAATTTCGAAGTTGGTATATTGTTACAAAGTGTTTTATAACGATCAAATGACAATTCTCACGTCTTGCATTAATGGATCTTCAAATGACAATTCTTATAACGATATTTCTTTTGAAGACAAATAATAAATCCGGTAACAAATACACGTATACAAGAAAACTACTCAAGAGAAACACAATGATCACGCTGTGAGCCAAATAGCTTCAAAATACACCAATAACAGTAATATCAAGAGCTTGCAGCGCTCCCGAGTGTAACACCATCCATAAGGTCGAACGAAAAAATCTGAAATGAAATATTTTGATCACCAAAAAATGTTTTTTCTAATGAATTATTTTTTGAAAGTTAAACCCTAATGAGCAAGAGCATTTGAAAAAAAAAATACCTAAATAATCCATTCATAAGGAAGTAGATTTGTAAAAAGTGTGCACAAATAAAAATATCTGCTCATAAAATAGGAGAGAAGTTGTTAATTTATTGAATCCAAAAGAAACTGATATTTCTGAGGAAGTAGTTGAAGCAGGGCCGTTTTATCCATTAGGCACTGTAGGCAACTGCTTAGGGGCCCCGTCACGTTCAGGGGCCCTGTGCTACAGAGAAAAAAATTGACAATGTTTCTTAAACAGTAAAACTTTAATTCGAAATTTCAATGACGATTGTCTTGCTTTGTACATTACATCGACAGTATTTTAGTACATTTCTGAACGCATTCCAAATTAGATATTAATATTATGGTAGTTAGTTCATATATAACGCAGTAATATAATCGCAAGCAATTTTATCGAGGTAATTTTAACGCCGACTAATCAGATGACTATACAGCAAGAGCAGCTTTTTTAACCCAACACGCTTGAAAAACGCGCAAAATTCTACGTTGTGAATGCACACACTTACTGTTCTGGTACCTACCATAGGTATGTATATTCTATGGCCAAGCTACTAAAGAGTATGTAAAAATAAGGTTGGCAGTACTGGTTCTTTCATCGCATGACTGGGGAATTCCCCGATCCGCTAAATACATACCTTGTATTGTGTCATAGACAACATTTTTGAAACATTTTTAATGTAATCGTTGAATTTTCACTTCGTGCAATTTGTTTGCGAGTTTTACGGCTGTGAATGAAAAGAGAGTTTTACAGTTTGTGTTTCAAAACTTACGAATTTAGAGCTAAGTATTGGATATTTATTTATAAAGACTGCAGAAGTGCTTCGGGCTTCGAGAAAATCGGTGAAACGACGAGTAAAAATCCGTGTAGTGTAAACTGAAGTTAAAATTACTATACGTAAGTTTTATTATTTTTTACATATTTTATTACCTAATACAGGACTTGACAAATGTGAAGTGCCGTTTTATTATTCAATTACTTACATATTTTATTTAATTTCAACGTTATCAAATATTATTAGTTTGGGTGTTTATTATTA